GAATGAGAGAGAGAGAGAGAGAGAGAGAGAGAGAGAGAGAGAGAGAGAGATGTAGCTCAGAAACAGAACACTTGACTAGCCTGTGTAGACCTTGGCTTCAATACCAAGAATCACAGAGAGGAAATATTCCATCTTGAGTCAGGTATTATGTCAAATCCTGTAATTTTAGCATTTTGGGGGCTGAGGTGGGAGTATCTTGAGTTCAAGGCCATAATGGGCTATATTCAGACCCTACGTCAAGAAAGAAAAGAGAAGTCCAGCTTAGTGTTGGCGATGCAGGTCAGCCTCTTACCTGGGGGATGCTAAGTTCCTTTCCATAGTCCAAACTAGCTTTAGCATTTGCTCCTTTCCTGCCTGCCGCTTTAATGACAGCCTTTCCTTCCTGCTCTCAAGGAGCCTACCAGTGTATTAAAAGGACAGAATTTAAATTTAAAAAGAAAGGGAAGAATTTGTGACTAGTGCAGCTGTAGAGGGAGGGCTTGCAACAGTATAGCCCAACCTCGGAGGTAGAATCCTGTTGCTGTGACAAACACCTGAGGGAAAGAGCTGAAAAGGATTAAGCAAAGCTACTACCTGTGCCTCTTGAGTGCTGGGAGTGCTGGAGGCAAGAGGATCTGGAGTTCAAAGCCATCCTTATTTGCACAGGAGGGTCAAGCCAAGCCTAGGTTTTATGAGTCCCTGTCTAGAAACAATAGAAACAAAGGAAGAGTGAAGAAAAAAGGTTTATTTTTGCCTCAGTTTCAGACTGTGCTCAGTTCCATTGTTACAAGCTTGCAGATCAGAACAGGGTGGTAAGGAAGATCACAGGGAGAGCTGCCTGTCTCAATGTGCTCGTTCAGCTGCCTGTCTCAATGTGCTCGTTCAGGGCACACCCCCATTGGCCTACATCCTCCTACCAGGTCCTACCTCTTAGTTCAGAGCCTTCACTTTCCAATTACCTCTCAGTGACTCAATGATCAGATCTACCACTGGAGACTAAGCTTTCAAATACGGGAGCCTGTTGAGGGATACTTTAATATCTAAAACATGCATGCCTCCTTTGTCTCCCTTTCTTTCTTTAGACAGGGTCTTACTATGTAGCTCTGCTGTCCTGGAACTCACTATGTAGACCAGAGCTCAGAGATACACCTACCTCTGCCTCCTGAGTGCTGGGATTAAAGGCATGCATTACTATGCCCAGTGTATATCTCCTTTTAAACATAACTGCCAGGTATTTCAAAAATAGTTTTAGCCGGGCGGTGGTGGCACACGCCTTTAATCCTAGCACTTGGGAGGCAGAGGCAGGTGGATCTCTGTGAGTTCAAGACCAGCCTGGTCTACAAGAGCTAGTTCCAGGACAGGCTCCAAAACCACAGAGAAACCCTGTCTCAAAAAAAAAAAAAAAAAAAAAAAAAAAAAAAAAAAAAAAAAAAAAAAAAAAAAAAAAAAAAAAAAAAAAAAAAAAAACCTACATTTTCCTTAGATTCAAAGTGTTCTAATGGAATGTTACTTTTTATAGAATTTGCACTATCCAGAGAGTGTCTGCAGGAAGAATGATGAAGTAAATGTGAGTGACATAGCTTGTGAGTCCTTGCTAAGACCTGATCAAGTTCCCTTTTCTTCCAGCACAATTATATGAAAACCATGGTGGGCCTCCAACAGTCACACAGAAAACAGTCTCATCAATAGCTCGAAGACCAGCGACTCTAGTCGGTTCTAAGAAAGCTGCTAAACCACGTGCTCAGAGCTCCAGCCACTTGCTCTGCTGCAAGCTGGAACTAAACCCAGAGAACACACAGTTGCCTGCCTGCTAGGATGAACATCCTCCAAAAGACACCCCTGCTTGTCTCCACAGAATACTTTTGATTTTAATTTGCTACCACATGTAAAAATCAAGATAAGATTACTTTTTTAACTGCTGAGCCATCTCTCCAGTGATAAAATTACTTTCTAGTTTGGATTTAAAACTGTTTGGAATAGTACTTAATATTCTGTCTGAAAGGGACATCTTCATTATGTATAGTTTGTGGCTAAAACCTTGTCCTAGTGTTTCCCTAGCAAGCAATGACACCTGGGATTTGGTCCCTAGCATCTTTCTCTCTCTCTCTCTCTCTCTGACACACACACACACCCTGCACACAGGATGAGGAGGATTGGGAGTGTAGTTCAGTGGTACTTTACTTGCCTAGCATTCACGAAACTCTTCCAAGTCCGACACCACCAAAAGGAAAAAGAATAGCTAATATTGTAGCTAGGGTGGCAGGACAGGCCTGTAATCCCAGCACTTGGGTGGTGGTGACAGGAAGAGCAGGAGTTCTGTTACACGTCTAGTTCAAAGTCAGTCTGGACTTTAAGAAACCTATCTCAAACAAAAACAAAAACAAAAACAAACCCTAAAAGCCACTTGAGCCTTGAGTAGGAAATCAAAATAGTAATTCAGGCTCTGCCTGTCAGTCTCTTTCCTCTTCAGTGGGCATCCTGAGATGAGCTTGGTCTGAGAATACTTCTTACAGCTCCCAACCCATCCTTCTAGCTGGGCAACCAGAAGAGGATCAGGTGTAGTTAGTGGCCTATGAGAGGGAGAGGCAGAACTGGGCCCCTGTGCCCAGGAGCGTCTGACCTTAGACTTTTCCAGTCAAGTACACACATGGTATGTGTTGCGGCTTCTCTGTCTTGCCTCCTCCCTTTGTCAGTGTGTGTGACTACAGACACACACAGGTGAAGGCGCCCAGGTTACCCTGGACAGGAACAGGGATCACAGCAGCAGGCCTGAGCAGGGAAGAGGAAACATTCATTACTCCTGAGTCAAGTCCTCAGGGTCTGGAGCTTGTGTCCTTGGTGATGGCACCAAGGGAAAGAGCTCACTGCTTCACTCAGGACAAACACAGGCTCTGGGAGCTTCCCAGCTGACCAGTGTACCTTGGGGCTGAGAAAGGCAGCCTCTGCTGAGTGACCTGTTTGGAACTTCCACACAGTCTTTCTTCCTGACTCGTGGGCCAAGGCTTTGACCCTGAACATGGTATGACAGCAATCCTTTTTCTGATACCCTTGAATGCCCAAGATGATAGAGACCTACAGTGGAATTACGAGGAAGCCCTATCAAGGGAATCAGTGAGAAAATATTCCAGACCGCACTTCAGAGGTCTTCGGGCCCTCAGATTACTTTATATGAGGCAGGTATGAGCTGGGACAAAGGACATGGCTAAGTGAGTAAGAGTGCTTGTTCTGCAGGCATGAGGACCCAAGTCTGAATCCCCTTTATATGCATAAGAAACATGGCTGCATAATCTCTGCACTGGGGGGGGGGGGTCACCCAACATACTCTCAACAGTGGCCTTCCTGTTGACCAGAGACAATCCTTACTTGGGATAAAGGATTAGGTAGAGAGGTAGGAAAGGAGTAAGTGGGTGGGTAAGTAAGTAGCCTCTCACTCAATTCCAGTTCAACTGTGGACTCCATGGGGAATGATCTTTTGTTTTTCCAAGCCTTAGTCAGGTTCCATTTGAGTCAGAACTCTGGCCTGGGTGTGTAGAAAAAAAATGCCATTTGAGAAAAAAGGTAACACCCAGTTCTATCTTAGAACACATCTAATTGCTTATGTGTTGTATCAGTCAATCTATATTCGTTTATTAGTCAATATATTAGTTCAAAGTCTATATTGGTTGTGGATATGGTTCAGCGGCAGGGGCCGCTTGCTTAGTGTTCTGTTTCATTGTGTTGCTGTGATAAAACACCTGGAAGCAGCTTAGGGGAGGAAATGGCTTACACTTCTGGGACACAGTCCATCACTTCAGGAAATCAGAGCAGAAATTATGCTAGTTTTCTTATGCAGCCCTGGACTGGCTACTTAGGTATGTGCTGCCCAAAGTGGGCTAGGCCATCCTCCACTAATAACTACCCACACAAATGCCCACAGACCAATCTGATCTAAACAATTCCTTGGCTGAGGCTTTCCTCTCAGGTGACTCTAGGCTAAGTCAAGTTGACAAAGCTAACTAGGACACCTAACATATGCAAACCACTGGGTTAAATTTTCAGCACCAGAAGGGGGAAAATTTACAAATAGTTTTGAAGAATGTGCTCAGGATCATCCGGTATTCCCCTGTTCTAAAGACGTTTCCCATCCCTTTATCAAATCCTAGGACATACCTGTGGTGGACTTGGGCTTTCTTCCCTTTTATTTATTTATTTATTTATTTTAATAAATCACCAAAGTTGACTTTAAGGGCTACTAGTAGCCACCCTGAAGTGTGATGGGATGGATGTGGTCTGGGCCCATGGGAGATACTACTAGGAGGAGCAATTCTCAAGGTTTTTATGGTATTCAGCACTCTAGGAGTGGGAATAGGTTTCATGTTGGTGATTTTGGACATTTTTTCCTTTAAATACATTGGAGGGCTTTCTGTACAAAAGCATGGGCTGGTAGGGCATGGTGACTCACATCTTTAGTCCTAGCACTCAGGAAGCAGAAGCAGCTGTATCTTTGAGTTTAAGGCCTGCCTGCTACACAGTGAGACCCTATCTTTAAAAAAAAAAAGGGGGGGGAGCGGTATTCAATAAGCTAAAAAGTGTTCACTGCTTTGGTCAGGAAGCTGATCATAGTAAATACAGAGAATGAGGTAGGAGGATAGGGAACTAGGGCAAGTCTGGGCTGAAAAGAAAAAAGGATATCCAAATCATGTTTTATATTGTGAGCCAGTCTCCCATAGCACAGGCTGGCCCCAATCTCACTGTGTAGCTGAGGATGATCTTGATGCCCCTGCTCCCTGCCAGGACGTGTTCCAAGGATGCCTGTCTTTGCCTTGAATCTAGCCTGCATGTGGAGGGACATATCTGCAGTCCTATCTTGGAGGTGGAGGCCAACCTGGGATAGGCACAGCAAAGCAGACTCCAGAGGTTCCTGAATACTCTCAAAAATACTGCCTGACTGAAAATTCTGAATCAAAGAGTTATGGGCCTTATGATTTCCACTGACCCTATGGTTTGACATGCTTATTCCAGTAGGTTATGACCAGACTGTTATCATCACCTGGCAAGTACTCTTCTGTCCCCTGCTAAAAAACTGCTTACTTTTAAAAAATTATTTTATGTGCATTGGTGTTTTGCCTACACATCGGTGTGAAGGTGTCAGATCCTGTAGAACTGGAGTTACCGACAGTCATGAACTGCTATGTCGGTGCTAGGAATTGAACCCGGTTCCCCTGAAGAAGAGCAGTGCTCTTCATCACTGAGCCATCTCTCCAGCTCCATTGACTTTGTTTTTAAGGAAATGGGAAACTTGCACAAGCTACCTTAGGTTCCTCTCAGCTTGTTGTTCCCACCTAAAATAGCTCTATTCTAGTGCCAAGTGGCTGCCATTGGCTTATGGAGTATTTAAGGCAAAGTGCTCCAAACCTATTCAAAAATCTAAGAGTTGGGCATGGTGGCCCACCAAAAGGCTGATGCAGGAGGACTTCAAGTTCAAGGCAAACTTGGGCTACAAATTAAACTATCTTTAAAAAAAAAGCCTTAAATATACCTTATTGTTTAGTAAGAGGCATTGTACAAACATGTTCACTAATATTATCTGTGTGGTAGATACACTTCTATTTTATAGGCAAGGCAGTAGAAGCCCGAGAAACAGTCATGTCCAGTATCATATGGCTAGAAACTGCCTGGTATTGGTTTACATAGTGCCAGATAGAACTTATCCATTGGACTATAATAACCTAAAATGTGTTGACATCTGTTAAGTTTAGGGTTTTATATACTGGGAATGTTTCTCAGTTGATGGAGTGCTTGTCTAGTATTTGAGAAGCCGCGAGTTCAATTCCCAGCACCAGATAATGCATGCCTGTAATCTCAGCACTGAGGGGTGGCTGCAGGAGGAAGTTAGAGTCATCTTTGGCTACAAATAGAGATCAAGGCCATCTGGGACACACAAAACCCTGCCCCAAATAAACAGACAGAAAAGTGAAGAAAAAGAGGAAGTTCAGGGTTTCACAAGTACCTCTATCCTCAGATCAGTGAGAATCTGTTCACATTTAAACTTTCATCTTCAGCAGGCTGTGGTGTCTGGCACCTGTAACTCCAGCATCAGGGAGGCTGGAGTAGGAGGATTTTGAGTTTATGGTCAGCATAAGGTACATATCAAATTCTAGTGCCACAGATGAAAACTCATGAAGTTCTGTGCACCTTGAACCTGGCTAAAGTTACCAGGAAAAAAAATAAAGCCCGATTAACCGCTATATAAAATGATAAAGAGAAAATAGATACTGCTTACCTACATACAAGTAAAAAAAAAAAAGAAATTCAAGAGATGGCTCAGCCCATAAAAGCACTGGCTGCCTGGCCTTATGATGGAAGTTACATCTCTGGGACCCACATATTGGGAGGAGAGAATGGACTCGCTAATGTTCTCTGGTCCCCACACGTGTGTCCTCAACACACACCATACAGATAAACACCATTTTAAAAATACACTTTAAAAGTGAGGGCGGGGCGATGGGGCACAGGGCTTTAATCCTAGCACTTGAGAGGCAGAGGCAGGCAGGTCTCTGAGTTCAAGGCCAGCCTGGTCTGGACAGTGAGTTCCAGAACTGCTAGACGTACACGGAGAAACCCTGTCTCGAACCAAAAAACTTGTTAAAACCCAGAATGTCAGCACTCAAGAGGGTGTACGTTCTAGTGTTAAAGGAAAGTCTACAGATGATCCTGTCTAAACATCAACAACACGACAAAGTTAGCTAGTGAAGGACTTCTGTTAAATCACATTTCAATTTATTGGTAAATCCAATTAAAAATTAGTGGCTATTCTTCCCCCGAAAACTCCACAAAGATTTGAACTCTCTACTGTCACTTTCATGATACGCAACTACTATACATTCGGCGTCCTGTAAGTTTACCTGACAGTTTCTTGCGCACTCCAACTTCTCCTTCCAGAAACAAAAAGCTCGTAGTTCACGTTATCTAACCTTTTTTTTTTCTTTTGCAAGAGAGCAATTAATAACCTTTTCCCCACTCATTGCCTCCGAGGCCTAAGCAACAAACATTGCCTTTCAGCCTTTTGGGGTGAGGGCAGAATACCGGGTGGGGGGGTGTAGGAAGAAGGCAGGAGGTGGTGGGGCCACGGGGGTGGGGGCGGCGGGAGGCTGAAGGAGGGAGGCGTGTCCGAGTAGCCCGGCCCGAGAAGCATCCCCAGCTTAGCTGGCTTTCCGTTCGCGTGGAGAGCGGGATGAAGAGCCTGGAGAGAAGAAATAAAGGGGCGAGAGCGGCCGCTGCGCTACCTCACGGCCTGGAGGCCGGGCTCTCCGTGGGCTCCCGGGCTTCGGGCGGCGGGTGGTGGCGGGCTTCGAGGGAAGAAGGCCGGTGTCCTGAGGGGCTCGGGCTATCGCCCGGGGAGGGGTAGCGGTGGCGCCCCTCCAGCTCCGGGACCCGCCTACAACACGCAGCCCTGGGACTTATTGTTCCGGGAAGCCGCAGGCGAGGCCCGGCCCGGCCCTCGGGGTGCACCCGCCCCTGCCAGGGTCGGCGGGCTGGGGCAGGCGCGCCGACTGGCGGCCGGTGGGCTGCCTGTGCGTGTCTCTTTAAGGGGCTGGGCCTGCAAGGCTGCAGGGCGGGCGGGGTGCGCGTTGCTCCGGGAGTGTGTGAGGGAGAGAGCGACGGGCGGTTGCCGGAGGGAGGGAGGGAGTGAGCGGGCGAGCCAGCCAGCCAGCGACGCGGGCCGCCCCTGCCGCCGCCGCGATCGGACCAGCGGCCTCCTCCCCTCCGGTCCCCTCCCCCGCATCGGCCTGCCGCGGGGAGGGGGCTAGCGTCGCCGCCTCCAGCTGCTCCTCATGAAGCAGCTGCCGTCGCAGCCGCCACCGAAGATGGGGGATTTCTACGATCCCGAGCACCCGACCCCTGAGTAAGTCTCAGATCCGCGGCCTCCCGCTGCCTTCGGTCGCCTCAGCCGAGGGCGGCGCGTCCCGACCGGTGGCGGCGCGCGGAGTAACGGGCCCTTGGGCGGCTTCGCGCGGTCGCGGTGGGGAACAGGCCCGGCGCGGCACCTCAGGCCGCCTCGCTTGGCCTCGGCCGGCCGGGCGGTTAAGCCTGGCGCGGATACCGCTGCTCGCGTCGCAGCGGCAGTTGGGGCGGCCCGGTGGGGGAGGGGCGGCCACGGCCTCCACTGCCGTTGCCGCGTCCTCAGTCGGCCGGCCCAGAGCTCGGCGCTCCCCGCAGCTCCTTCAGGACGCTCGGCGGCGGTCCAGGCTTCGGTCGCAGACCACGGTGCATAGTCCGAGACGCGGCTGAGGCCAAAGTCGGCTATAGGACGCCGGCGAGTCTAGGCCGAGAATCCCCGGGCTCGGGTGGAAGCTCGACCCGTCGCCCTGCCTACCGGTGACGGCAACTCGGACCGGAAGGGCCTAGCGCGCGTCTCTCTGCAGTGATCCGCGGAGGGGCCCCGCGTTGCAGTCTTGGTTTTGATTCCCCCCCCCCCGCCCCCTCTTGGGCACCAGACCCAGGCCCAATAGTGCTGTGAGCTTCACATTCTGTACCTTTGGCACTTGGGTTTTGTAATGGTGGCGAGGTTTGTCTGGTCCCGTTGTTGAGGTGACACCAGTTTTGTTTTTTGTTTTTACCTGAAAGTGAAAACCCGACGAACGTTTCTTTTCTCGATTATGAGGCTTGAACGCTTTGGCATACTATTTCTTAGGTAACAGAATCTTACCTACAAGGGTGACTTTTTGCTCCGTGTGAAGATTTTAAGAGACCTCAAAATCTCTGCATAGTCTCTAAAGAAAATAGTGAAACATAGTTTTGTCCAAAGTATAGTTTCTTTTCAGTCAGGGACATTTTTATATTTCTGTTGGGCAGTATCTGATAGCACAGCAAGCTTAGCAGTCAGGTTTGGAGGCGCCACTACCACCTGAGTTAGGACTGTAGGCAGCCTTGGCTGCTTACTGAAGATGGCCTCAAAACACAATAAAAGTAAACAGAAAGCTTCCACTTCAGAATCTGGAGTCAGTTCCTTCCTAAATTTCTACAGGATCATTTTGTTTTTTTAGCTTAGTGGTCGCACCCTGTTGCTCAGGCCGGCCTTGAACCTGGGACCCTCCTTCTTCAGCTTCCTGACTGCTGGGATTACAATATGGGTGCGGGACTTGAAAAAACCATTGTTTAACTCGTTTTGCTCATATTGATACACTTCATAGCACACAAAATTCTCTCCAAAGTTAACTTTTGTGGGGAGATCTAGTGGAGCTGTTCAACTTTCATAACTAAAGTATGACACTTTACACAGTCTTTGGAACCTTTGCCAAATTTTTAACCTTGGTTCAGGACTGTCTGAATCTTCCAAGATAGTTCTTTGATATTGTAACATAAAAGTTATTTTGTTGGAGTGTTGGTTATATCCACACAAAAAGCAAAATCTTTTATGTTGCCTAAAGAAAAGTACAAAATTTTATTGGGACAATTTTAAAGGTCCTGTTTTCACCTAAGAAGAGCCTGAGTAGTTTCATCTCGCCTTCTTTTAAGCTTGCAGAGACCCTAAAGCTGTTCTCTGGCATTTTAGTTTGTTCTGTGCTTTGCAGAAGGCTTAATAACATAGGTCATCTCTATGCACAGTCTTAATAAAACAAAATCCATCTTTCCCTGGCAATAGTAAACCAGCATGGCTTTATCCTTCCCTGGGTTCTTGACTTTGGATTAACATTTTAATTGGAATGTTTGGATTTACTGTATAATTAGTTCAGTAGCAAAGTTCTGTTAATAGATTTTTGGTTTGAGAGGTGAAAAACCTCAGGAGGAATTTGTGTCATTCAGTAAATGTTGATTGCTTTCCTTGTACAAAGTAACATGCTAGCCCAGGAAAGGCCAAGAGCCTTTCAGTGACTTGTTCCAGGTTGCATGGTGAAGACATCATCCTTGCTGATAGGATTATATCCTTTTTTTTTTTTTTATTGGAGCAAAACATTTTTCATAATATGTGGAAAAATGGAGTCAGAAAAACTTAACTACAGTGAGAAATCATGTTTATTGTTTTTCAGTTTCTGAAATTTTATTGCTTTTCTGACATTACTGCTTCAGAGTTCTTAATATGAAGAGTAAGTTCTAATACATGTCTTTTTTTCCCTGTTTATTTACCTGTATAGGTTATAAAATGTTTCTTAGTACTGGACTGATGTTGGCAGGCATCTTGAACAGTATTCCCTCTTTTACATATGAAGAAAATGAGGCCTGGTCAAGAAATGAGAAGTAAAGTGATAGCAGACCACGTGAGGAAGTAGTGTTTAAAACT